AATTTGGTTCAGGACATGAAGACCCAGAGTTTCGGGGTTTATTAAAGAAAGCCAAAATATTCAACAAAAATCGGCTAACCGGGTTACCATCAAGATCGGCCAAATGACAATGACGTTATCCCTTGGATAAACTTCAACAGACGATAGATGGTGGCAGAAAGGCAGGAAGACACGTCGGACTCCATATAACGGGAAGATTGGGGTCCAAGTTATCGTAATTTAGGAAATTTTATTTTCTTTTCCAAGTTTTGTAACCAGTCTTGTTCGACTAGGACTCGTAGTCAAGTCTCGGGTATAAATATCGGACCCCGGCTATTGTAAAGAGACATCCACATATCAATCAAAACAAGTACCTTTACTTTTTTGGCCCCGTGCCACCCTTAAGAGTAGGAGTATAGTAGATTCCGGCGAGTTCCTCCAGCAAGCAAGGCTGCGTCGGTTTGACCGACCTCTGGTTTGTTGTAAGTACTGTCACGACTTATACTTTGCTTGTAAGGCTGCATCGGTCCGACCGACCTCTTGCTAGCTTGGTATAAGTTAGTTATCGATCTATATTGTTATTGTAAGGCTACAATGATCCGGTCGATCTCTTTCAGGTAGTAATATAGATTAGTTATCGATATTGTGTTAAATAGTTTACTATTCAGCATAATATCACCAATTGCTCGATCTAGATTAAAGATTCCTCGGTCTTTATCTTTTGATCTATCGTCTGTCGATTGTTTTATGCTAAAATCCAACTTTTGACATTAGATCCCGTATATCGACCGTCTTATCTTGATCTTGATCGATCATAGTGGGTGTTTGGAGCCCTGTTTCCATTAAGGAATAGGTATGTTAGTCATCAATTTTCGGTTTGCTGTTTTCGTTATCAACCTGTTGGTAGCGCACTACATCGGATATTGTTGGTTAATAGATCTACTTGTTAAGGGGGATATGACATCATCCATCCGCTATGTTTCTATCCGCTATTTTAGAAGATAGCTTGAGCTTTCACGCGTATGGCACGCGTCCATGATTCCATCAAAACATAAGTAGATCGCTAGGATTGCAGTTTGCCATTCTACTATCAATGCTGCATCGATTCGGTCAACCTATTGATAGTGCCGCAAATTGGATTTGGTCGGTTTATAGATTTACTCATGCTTTGGTGGTTGAACGTTCGCATGCTATACGACAAAAATTGCCTAGATGGACCTCTTGGTCGGTTGCTTATGCTTTCATGCTCATAACACGTGCTCATGATCATGTCTAAGTATGGATAGATCTATGTGTTTTAAGAGTTTAATTTGTTATCATTATTAAGGTTGTCTTCGATCCGCTCGACCCCCTCTATTAATGATGATGGTTTAGATTTGATGAGCTTGTAAATTCATTTATTTTAAGATAAGTGATTGATCACGTTATATGTATCTGTTTACCTTGGAATCGGCTATTTTACCGATGGCCCATGCATTGCAAGTATATTGGTTTTTATTATTGTACTTGTTCTTGTCTTGACCTTTAAGTCAATACAGAGTATAATCGATGCAAATGCTTTCACTCATATTAGCTTCTCTACTATGTTCTTGTATGTTTTATGATCATTGGCATTAGATTTACATCATTAATATCTGATAATTGTCAATAGTGTTCGTTTTTTGATATCTTATACCATGAACATGCTGGATATCGACTATTTAGTCGATAGCTGTATTGAATCGGCTATCTAGCCGTACATTTGGAACTATCTGGAGCAACACTGACATGTTCCATTCTCTCATTGTCAATTACATGGTCAAATTGACTGGCACGCCCCAGGTTCCGTATCGATCGGTCCTGTGTCCTAAGCCGCTGGAGATCCTGGGATCTGCTTCACACAGTTTCTCTCGGCTTGCTACTGTGTAAACTGACGGGGAAGAGGGCGACCGTTTTTGCCGTCAACACTAGCAAACCATATTAGTCCATTTAATTATATTGTTAATTAACCACCAAAAACACATATGGCCCGCCATTTTCCTTACCGTGAATATTCTCCGAGTTCCCCTCTCAGCTCGCTGAGCCAATTGTCCGGCCGAGTTGCATTTGTCTTAGCACTCATGTAAAGTACAGCTAGACCATTCGTTGTTCTCTTCTACATTCTGTCGAATATGCAAAGTGCCACCAGATCAAGTGTTGATTGTCCAGCGATTTCATTTTGTTGCCTATCTATTTACTCGGTGTGTGCAGTTTTTGCACACTCGATCCGTTTGACTACGTTTTTTTTCATCGGTTTCTGGACCACTTCTTCTCTTGCATCTCTAGGATAATATTAGAGCTCGTCTGACACATCTTAACACATACTGTGGCCCGTTCGGCTTGCTGAATTGTGGCTGAAAGTGGCTGAAAATACTGTTCTGGCTGAATTCTTGTGAGAGAAAAACACTGCTCCGGCTAAAAAAACAAGCTGAATAGCGCTGTTTTCTGGATAAGCCGAACGGGGCCACTAATTTTAATGATTGGTTCATCTTCTAAATCACCAAAAAACATATTTAAATCATGGGTATGGACACATGCTCCTTATCGATGTTTCGGATCACCGGCTAATAAATTTGTATTTGCGTGTCTGGCCTAGATGGTGCGCTCAGAGGACACAAGGATTTATATTGGTTCGGACGGAATGTCTCTACGTCTAGTCTGCTGCTGCTCGTGTTACCGTCACTAGTTTGTAGTAGTGGTTACAAACGGCCGAGAGATGGAGAAGGTCCCAAGTCTCTGTTGAAAGGATTGAACGAAGTTGAATCTTGTTGAGCTCGTTCAGCCATGTGCTCCCTCTCTCGTGGGGCATCCTACTTTTTCTTTTATAAGTGAAGGAGAATGCGTAGGTTACAGGGAGAGAGAAAGAGAGGAAAGGGGGAAAACGAGGGAAAAGAAGGCCTCTAGGGCCGTCGTGTCCTTCTTTTTCTTCATGCGGGTCACGTCGACGCTGTAGATGGTGACGGGGACAGCTCCACGTCGGGCTCCTGTTCACCACCGGTGCCATGCCCCGATGTCATCAGCCGGTCGTGGCGTCCTATCCTGTCCCGACAGACGGCGTGGTGAACCGACGTGTCTGTCAGCGGCCGTACGGGGATTAGGCAGCACAACGACCACGCACCCGTCACTGTTGGCGATGCGAACCCCTGGGCGTGGCCTGACATGGCCACATGGACGTGGCCACGGGTCACGTCGAGACATGCCCGCTTCCCTCCCGGTATCGGAAGTTTAACCCTAGGGTCGTACCCTTAGACTCGTAGTGGTTGAAAGCAGTATGGGTCCCCATCGGATGAGACGGAGCCCATGCCCTCAGGGTCGGGCGAGACACCTCCCGTACCCTCGGGGTCGGGCGACACGGGGCCCGTGCCTGAGGGTTCGGACGAGACGGAGCCCGTGCCCTCAGGGTCGGGCGACACGAGGCCCGTGCTCGAGGGGTCGGACGAGATGGAGCCCGTGCCCTCAGGGTAGGGCGAGACGTCTCTCATACCCTCGGGGTCGGGTGACATGGGCCCCGTGCCCGAGGGTCTGGCGAGGCGGAAGCAGTCCCTTCGGGGTCGGTTGAGACTGAAATACGTCCTCGATTATCTAGGTAAGTTTGTCGTCCGCGGTCCTTAGATCCCTTCGTCAGGTATCCCTAATACTGATACTTGACAATCCTTATACTTGCATTGACCATGTCCTCGTGCGAGTATTAGTTTGCACACCATGGGTTGTTACAAAATGTAAACTAGAAGCAAGCAGATTATAAAAACGGTACTAAGGCCAATCTTAATAGGGGTTTCATCAGAGTTTCATGTTCATTAAATATGCTGATTTGACACCGTGTTCATAAAGAGAGATGATAAAAGTTTCATAGGAGTATAGATAATTTTATAACGATGAAACTCTTCTGCATTGTTTCAAAAATATAAATGTATTGAAAACTAGGACATGAAACCTTCACTGAGACTGACCTAATAATCTTAGCATATTACACTACTTAAGGTCTTGTTTGGTTCTCAAGGGATCCTTCGCCTTACCTTGCCGAGGCCAAATTCCAGGTGATACTGGTCCTGTTTGTTTGTCTTATAATTCATACTTTTCAGCTTATTTTTTTAGTCGGAACATTATTTTTCTCTCACAACAAATCAGCCGGAACAGTGTTTCGGTTTGTTTTTTCAGCAAAGCGAACAGGGCCACTATCTCAAGGTATGCGTTGGCAAGGCTTTTTCTTGTTCATGTAGAGCCGAGCGGAGCCTCGAGTCCATTCTAAATTACAAGATGTTTTGATTTTATATTCTAGATATATTATTTTTTTACTATATATATAGCAAAAACTATGCCTTTAGAAATGTGAAGATGACTTATAATTTAGATAGATGCGAGAGAGTATTTAAAAAAAATATGTCATTGTGTTACCATTTCTATGTACCTAATCTTTCCAAACAAAAGGAGGGGAAACCGACGGCCGCTTGGCACCGGCCAGTCCAGGTCCACGCCACCCGTTGGCCTCGATCCCCAGGCAGAGACCGACCGCCCCTGCCCCCGCCCCCCCCCCCTGCCCCCATCCCCATCTCCGGAGTCCCACTCCTAAAACCCCGCCAGCCAGCGGTGCCGCCGCCGGTGACATGGCCGACGGCGCCACCCCAGGCGCAAATCCGTCCCGGACTGGCTTAACAGCCCGATCTGGTCCGCGCCTCCCCGTCCCCGCGCCACAGCTCCCTCCCCGCACGGCACCCTCCCCGCTCAGCCGCCGCCATCTCCCCTGCCCCCTCCCCAGCCGCCGCGGGATTCGACTCCCATCCCTCCTCCCCACGCCCCACACGGCGGCGATGCTTCAGACGACGAAGACGACGAAGGCAAGGGCTCGGGCGCCCCGTCGCGCGCCCACCTCGTCGCTGAGTTCAAAGTCGCGGTGAGTACTGCTGCTCTCGGGGATCGGGCTGGAATTTTTACTGGGTGTTGAGTTGGGCAGCAGTTTGAGCTCAATTGGGTTGTTTGTGTTCTTGCATCTTGCCGCGCTGCAGCTGGACAGGAAGGTGGTGGATCTGGCAGAGCTCCGGAGGCTCGCATGCCAGGGCGTGCCCGACGCCGCTGGTATTCGGCCCGTCGTCTGGAAGGTCCGAGGATCACCACACGATCTTCTCAATTCACTGCGTAACTGCATTTATACCCTGATCGAGTGCTTCTCTATCACCCCCTAGCTAGAGAAATGGCATTGCCTATGTTGACTATCATGTTGATGACCCCTGTACTAGTTTCAACCATTCAGGAAGTTATAGGTATAAGTAGTCTATGTGGACGACAGTATGGTTTTGGATGCTTTCATTCAGCTCAATATGGATGGGATAAATCACACCTCAGTGTGCAAGTTTCCTCTGATTTAGAACAGTTTGTGTTTTTTCAAGGTTTATTTTGTTGTGCTTGCTGGTGTTTGTATTTTCACATAAATTCTATCCTATTTGTTTTTTTTTCTTGTTTACCCGTTGCTGAAGAACTGCTCAGCACTTGGTTTGATATTATTCAAGAACTTCTGGTTAGCTGGGTTGATCAATAATTCCATTTGATTTTTAGTTCAGTGTATATTTTGCGCTTAATAATAAGAAGAGCAGAGGCATTTTTGGCAGTACTACATCATGATATTTGAGGTCTACTGGTTCTGTAGAAACTGCAGCCACATATTTTAGCTAAGCGATTCTGAGAATATAGAATCTTTTTTTTTGTGTGTCTGTAATGTCTAGTTCAATCCAATGTTGCTGGCAGTTCTGGAATAAATGAGAGCCTGGACTTGTCAGTTTGTCATGTCTTTTTTGTTACTTGTGCTGAACCGTATTTGATTGCATGGCTTCTTACTCTGACGTAATGACTATGATTTCAGAAGGGCGTGCCTGGTGCAAGATGGTGAGAGCTGTCTCACCGAGTCACCAGGTCGTGGGTTCAAGCAGCCTCTCTGCTGAGATTGCGAGGGGAAGGCTTGCCTTGGTTTTCCCTTCCTCGCACCCCACTCATGTGGGAGCCTCCGCACTTGGGTCTGCCCCTTATAACTTCTGTTTGTGATTCAGTTAAAGCTTAAATGAAATCGCAAAACAAACTGCTAGTATTAAGGTAAACTAGATGGCACATTTGCCTGGTCTTGTAGGGTGGTGGGTAGTTATGGTCTCTACAAATTTTCTCCTTGTTCTGTACACTACAAATTTATTTGACTTTTTTGATAGTTAGCAGCTTCTCTTGGGATACTTGCCAACTGATCGTGCTCTATGGCCATATGAACTGGAGAAAAAGAGGTCCCAATACTGTGCTTTCAAAGATGAACTTCTGGTTAATCCTGTAAGTGCTTGATGCATGTAGTGTTACAAGAGTTATTTTGCATTGCAGATGCGTGTATATATCATTTTTCTAAGAATATACCGAGCCTCATTCATCAGGAATGGATGAAACTTTCATTTCATGGGCAGTAAACTATTACACTTGTGGACAAAGTAACCAATTATGAACATTCTTGTTCATTGTTGCAAATTCATTAATTTGTTTATTTTGAGGCAGCTCTTTGCTCCTTTATCCACCTCTGTAGTAATACATTTATGTTCTGGCCAGTCAGAAGTTACTCGAAGAATGGAGGAAATGTCAGTTTCTAAAAGAGAGGAACATAATGCTGAAGGGACTGGTGTGCTACCAAGGGCGGAAATCGTTCGTGATGAGCATCCCCTAAGCCTTGGGAAAACTAGTGTTTGGAACCAATACTTCCAGGTAAATTTACCTAAAATTAATAATTGCTTGCTGGTTTCTCAGGTGCTCATATGACCATATTTTCTATGCTCGGAAGTATATTATGTACACTTGTTTCCTTTCCAGGCTCTTAGGTCTATATAAAATTACAAGCATTGATATGGAATAGAACACCTCTTGCAATGCGAACCAACTTCATGTTGATTCTAAATTTTTATTTGCTATAGTCCTGCATCTTGTTTCTACAATCTGCCTAACCTTTCCCATCTTTCATTATAAACGTAAAAATATTTGGTGTGAATTTCTATATTTGGAGAGTTGGCCATAAAGCATTAGCAACATGCTAATTGAATCCTCATGAACTTAATTGGTACATGAATTGCTTGCTGGTTTTCTTTGTATTTTCGCTACGGTTGTAATTTAGTTTGATTTGATATTGCATTTTGATACTGCTTTTCTGTTGAGTATTGAGAGATTTCCCTTTGGTTTCATTGTTGGTTAGTCAAATTTTGTTGTGAATATCTCTTCTGCAGTTTGCACTACTGAAAATACTGACTATCCAATACTTCAGGAATCTGAGATTGTGGAGCAGATCGATAGAGATGTTAAGCGTACTCATCCTGAGATGCAATTTTTCAATGGGGACTCTTCAGATTCGTTGTCTAATCAGGTAGGTGTGTTCTCTGGCATGGGATCACTTTTTTGTTGTCAGTAACATTGTTCAGTTTTCCTAATGCAATATGTTTTGTTTCCAGGAGTCACTAAAGCGTATACTTACAATATTTGCAAAATTGAATCCGGGTATAAGATATGTACAAGGAATGAATGAGGTTTTGGCACCTCTCTATTATGTTTTCAAGAATGACCCTGACCAAAGTCATGCTGTAAGTCCACTTATTCTGATTATTCTGATAGTACAAACATTTATGACATTAAATTTCTGTGAATGTAGCATGTGTGCGTAAATAATGATTAATGATATGCCTTTTGGAGTGTGAAACTAATCCTGGTGCAGCACTGCCCCCAGATGTTTTTACTTTTTCTGGAATATATGAAGGAAAATATAATTTCAGTTCATGTGACAGAACAACTCTCAAATAGCATTGTTCCTTGTGCCTTGTACACATTATGCTTTAGTATAGCGCTTAGATGACCATAATTGTCTCATGTTTTACCTGTGAACAGGCTTTAGCAGAGCCAGATGCCTTTTTCTGTTTTGTCGAGCTGCTTAGTGGGTTCCGAGATAACTTTTGCAAGCAACTTGACAACAGTGTGGTTGGTATACGCTCCACAATTACTAGACTATCACAGCTTCTGAGAAGACATGACGAGGAACTCTGGCGGCATTTAGAAGTTGTAACCAAGGTATTTATACAAAGAGCTCTTTCTTTTAGTTGATGATATCAGCGTGTGGTTACAGGTACTTGTGCTTCCAGTCTCATGCTTATCTGGCATCCCAGGTTAATCCACAGTTCTACGCATTCAGATGGATCACCTTGCTGCTAACGCAGGAGTTTAAGTTCCGTGACTGCCTCAGCCTGTGGGACACACTATTGGGCGATCCAGAGGGACCTCAGGTTAGGGAACCACAATTTTTGGTCTTATGCCATGAGATTGTGCTTCAAAGCACGCTAGAATTGGACTAAACTCTTTGTTCGGGTTGCAGGCTACATTGTTGCGGATCTGCTGTGCGATGCTAATTCTTGTCCGAAGGCAGCTTTTGGCTGGCGATTTCACTGCGAACCTCAAGCTCCTCCAGAACTACCCACCCACAAACACCGACCACCTTCTACACATTGCTAACAAGCTGCGAGGGCCGCTTCCCTTCTGATCAATTGGATTCCTTGCATATTTTGTTATCGCATACGGTTTTGTGCTAGACTGTATTATCCAGAGAAAGAAAGATGCATTAGGAACTCTTTAAATGAACCTCCAAAGTACCGCTTGGTTCTCGTGTAGTTTCCGGCTCTATGCTGGATGCTCGTGCGACTTTGCTGTTTGTGAATGTCAACTGAACGAGTGCCATGCACGCATGACGCGCCTCTCAACTTCACTGGAAGTCCGTGAGACCACAGGGCAACAACAACACAAGCATACAGCAGCGTTAGCCTAAAAAAAACACTTCATGAACGTCAAACCACAGTTTGTCCAACGCAGCCTATACCTGTCTTCTCTCTTCAGAGTCACATAGCTCTACACATTGCTTAGTTTCTGCGTGGGAAGAATGTGGTGCCCGTAAGTGAAATCATTCCTGTGTGGAGAGAGAATGAGCTAACCAAACTTGGTCCCAAACGAGCAAACATCATTCTACGCTTACCAAACTTGGTCCCAAACGAGCAAACATCATTCTAAAGCCACTCACCAGTCACCACAACGTGTTCCCCAATTGTGGCTTCCGCCATTTGTCAGAGGAAGACATGGCTACTTCTAAAAGACCTCCTGACACCATGCGAGGCCACCTGAAGTCTTATTTAGGTTTTGGTAATTAATTACAACATTTGTGGACTAATGGTTTCATATGAGGTGAAAAGTTTAAGTGTGGTCTACAAGCAAGATTTGAGCTACGTGGGGCCGTGAAGGAGAGATAGCATGAGCCATGTGATCCAAAAGCTTAACAAGTAGAAGAGATGGAAGCAAAGATGAGAAGTAATGAAGTGGAAGATAAAGTGAAGGCAAAGACATATGCACTGTCATTGACCAGCTATAAGGTGATTAGTGAAGTGCCAATGGCCGAATTTGATAGGATAAATAACCGTACCATTAAGAGGGGCAAATCAAGTTGTAGACGCGGTTATCTAGTGCCACTTAGTGAGATCTAACTTTGCATATGCATTTAGATCGAGTGGCGATGTGAGTTCAAGTGAAAACATTTGAAAATGATTGTAAAATGCTAACTCAGAGTTAAAGGTGTCGTTCTATGGGAGACCTTTTGGAGCTAGTAATTTGAAAAGGTTTGAAAAAAGGAGCTAAATGGATTGTTTTTGCATTCACCGGAGATCTCCGATGATGAAGCGTGTTGGTCAGTGGTCACCGAAGCTATGGAACAGTGTTCTCCTAACCACTTTTCAAGAGTGCGTACCTTATCTTCTGGTGTGCACTGGGGAGGTGGCACTAGAGCTTTTGGAACACTGCATTGCCAGGAGGTGGCAAATTAAAAAGAGCTCACCTAAGCTCTTTGGTGTAGCACTAGAGAGGTGCACTGGAGAGTAAACCCGAGAGGATGTTTTGTGCATAGTTGAGCTCTAACGTTCACCGGAGACTGAGCATAGAGATGCTATTTTTGTGCACAAGTCGGGTGCACGCACCAGAGCTCTCTGATGGTGCATCGGAGATGTCACTGGAGAATACAATGGTTACTTTCTGGCTCAGCAGGTTACTGTTGATAAAACCCCCGTGAGGCCAAAAAAGTTACAGTAAGAGCTCAACGGCTAGTTCTTGTGTTGGGCAATCAATAGAAGGAATGCAAGGATTTATTGTAGTAATGACAAGTATTGCAATGACACTTGAACAATGAAGGACTTGAATATACCAAATGCCCTTGCACTTGTTGCAATGCTTATTATTGTTTCTCACAAAGGTCCTGTGAGGAGCAAAAGCTTTCTTGCCTCTTTTTTAAGCATAGCCAAGTCCTTCCTCGTTTCTTGGGTGCCTGAGCTAAATCAAGCCGCAAACCTGCACAGCCAGCAGGTTGTTTGCGCCTACACGGAGTGGAGAACTAGGGTATTATACTACAACTAGGCTGGCTCTATTCCGACGAAGGGTCTATTTGGCACAACTTACCACAGCTTTCATGAGCTATTTTTCTTTTTTTACTAAACACTATTTTTCAAAACAATTTCATGAGTTTAGTTGTTTTTTTTTGTCTCCCCTTACGAAAGGATGAGTTGACGTAAAGCTGAAAAAAAAAAGCTTATCTCAGCTTCACCTGCCATCAGTGGCCCCCACCTTGTCTAAAGATCGGATCTGCCCACGGCTGCGTTGCCTTGCCGTCGGGACGTGAGCGTCGTCACCACTGCCGAGACGCGAGCGCCGTCGTCGCCGCTAGGGCCTACGAGGACGAGCGCCGGGGCTGGACCAGCAAGCTGGCGCGAGACCACCACCGGGCCTGGTCGCGTACCTGGGGGCGCAAGGCCGCGTCGGGTGCAGGGACAGTACTCCTCCACCGCCGGGGGCGTGGGGCTGGGGCGTGAGGCCAGGCCGCCGGGCCGAGGACGCCAACGCCATCGAGCTGGGTGGGCGCACCGGGGCCGCGGAGCGTGCTGCGTGGGCGCGCGGTGGCCAGGGCCGCCGAGACCATACGCTAGGAGGCAGACATGCTCGGATGCCGGGAGAAGAAGGGGAGAGAGAAGGAAGCCCGAGAGGCCGAGACTCGAGAGTGAAGGAAGCCCGCGTGGATGACGGGAGGTGATGGGGAAGAGGGGTAATATAGTCATTTCTTTGTTTTGGCTCATCTTGTGAAGCCATTTTGTCAAATGAGGTAAAAAAAAAAAACGGCTCAGCTTCGATAAAAAGCTGCTCGTGAATCTAAAACACAGAAAATTAGCTTTCACTGATAAAGCCGAGGTATGACAAATTATGCATGATGGATATGATAATATCTTAATAAAAAAACGTTTCCATACAATAATATCCCGGTCAAAATGTTAACATAAATATTCATGTTTTTCATAGATTTGATCAAATTTAAAATGAATTGAGAAGAAAGATAGAATTACGATCTCTCTGACACAAAGATATATACGATTTGCTAGATTTTGTGTTGTCTGATTGTAATATGTAAATTTTTACTTCAAAAAATCTAATTGTGAACTACTCTCTTCGTTTTCAATTATGAGATGTTTTTGACCTTTTTAAATTTGTAGCTTTCGCTATGCACTTAGATATAGCTATGTCTAAATATATAACAAAAGCAACATATTTAGAAAAGTCAAAAACGTGTTACAATTTAAAATTGAGAGAATATATAGCTTGATATAAGACTAGAGATCAGACAAAATACAATGCGAGTACGTTTGGGGGTGGTGGACGTCCGAATTTTTTGCAAATTAGCCCTTTTTTACAAAAAACATCACATTTAGCCCCTGGACTACAAAAACCTAATTTTGGATCTTTTTCTCGGCGCCGAGATAACACGCACCATAGGTCATGGCGCCAAGGTAGGAGAACAGCAAATACGTGGTTAGCGACGTGGCGCTTACGGTGCGGAGCTCGGCATATAAAATTTGGTTGCATTTTTACTATGAGATGGAAAATTCTCATTCATTAAAATTGCAGACTTAGACAGATTCTAACAAATCCGAGTCACGGTAAAAAAGTCAGACTTAGCCAAATTCTAGCATAGTCAATGTCCAAGTCATGGTAAAATTCAGACTTAGCCAAAATTCTAGCAATGTCAAGTCGTAGTAAAATTTAAAGACTTAGCCAAATTTAGAGTTTAAGGTTAAATTCAGAGCTCGGTGGCGTCGATCATGACGCCGTGAATCATGACGCCAGCGCAACATATTTCCTAGGCTCCTACCTCGGCGCAATGACCTATGGCGCCGAGATGTTTACCTCGGCGCCAAGGTCACGGTGCCGAGAAAAGGGTCCAAAGTTAAATTTTTGTCGTTTAAGAGGGGTAAACTTCATTTTCTTTAAAAAAAAAAGAGCTAAATTGGAAAAAAAATCAGAGGGTGGGGGGGGGGGGGTGTTGTTTGCTTGGGTCCCGAATGCCACACGCTGGAAACTAAAAACGGGCCCTCACAATTATAAGGATTAACGAATAGCGAACAGCCCCTTGTGTTAAGTACTCTCTCCGTTTCATAAAAAAATGTCATTCTTGTTTTCCGAGAAGTCAAACGCTTTAAACTTTGATCAAATATATATTAAAAAGTATTAATATTTACGATACATAATTAGTATCATTAGATAGATCATTGATTATATTTTCATAACAAACTTATTTGAAGATATAATTGTTACTAATATTTTTTACAAACCTAGTTAAACTTAGAAAAGTTTGACCTACATGAGTCCTAAAGCAACTCTTTTTATGGGATGGAGTAGTAGCATAAAAAATGCTACACATAGCTAGCCACTACAATATGTGGCCAGGAAAAATAATGCTCACTTCGATAACAGGTCTCGTGATAGTTATTTATGAATAAAAACAGATATGGTTCTACACATTTTTACCGAACCAGTGCACCAATGCACCAATGCAAGGTAACATTCAATGGCTTCCGGCAACCGCATAGACAACCCCAGGAGCCAGCCGGAACAAAATCCCGCACGAACCACTGCTTCAAAAGGCCAATCATCAGTCCATCAACAGTAGATGAGCTTCAATGGCATCCTCCTACGACTGACCAAAGTAGAACAACCCTGGTGGCCTAGCACAATAAATGAGTTGTCACAGCTCCATAACAAAATTATCCTCATCACTGGTGGCATGAGAGGTTCGCCAAGCAATACCTCAACAGCTAAGATGCTGAATCCATTCTATAAATATTGCCATCCAGAGACTCTCTTGCAAAATGTACTTTCAGTGAGGCAATGCCTCAGTGGCTCAGTCTACTCCCCACTTTTCTTGCTCCGGAAATTCTCTCTCATTGCCGCAACCTTTTTCTTGCACTGGACTACAGTTTTACCTGGGACAGCAGCAGCCACACGCTCCCATCTTTGGCTTGCATCCTTGGGAAAAGCCTTCAAAGCTTGGACTAGAGCCAGGACCTGTGCCTCTGTCCAGGCATCTGGATCTGACACGGATGGTGCTCCATCTGGGACAGGGTCAGCAACAGCTTTCCCATTGGCTGTCTGGCTACTCGCAGGTTGTGCCGCAGACTTTGATGA